AGTTCGCAGGGTCACTGAGGCGCGCAAGCCATCACACCACGTCAAGGTGCAGTCTCGTCGTACATATAAACCTATGCATAGATCAACGCGATTGATACAGTTCTGTTACCACGATATCTGGAGGTGTGCTTGAAGTACAGGGCAATCTGAGGAGCACAATCGCCTTTGGTCCCTAAAGGTTTGGAAATACTGTAATTTTCGGATGTATTTTTTATCTCTGTACGTGGATGCATTTAACGACAGCTGCACTATATTTTTCTCTAAATGCAATCTTTCTTAATAATTTCAGCAAGCCTTGATAGAGGTTGAATTCTTTCGAAAACTCGTCCGAAATCACCTCCACACTCATTCGGTGGTACTCGGAGAGGAACGAGCAAATGGTTCACAAATAAATCACGACAATCAATTCACGGATGTGGATGAAAATGCTGAGCTTTACTCCGAACCTGCCTTTCCTGTCGCCTCTCAGGCAACGCTAGGACCTATGGTCATCTCCACGTGGAAGGAATTGGACTCAGTTCTAATCCAGTGAGTGATGACGCATCGTTTTCGTTATGGCAATACTGTACGGTCAGTGCGTGGGTTCGAATCTAACCGGAGCTTCGGATCAGTCGTAAAAAATTTATCGCGCATTTACTGGTGAAATGTTTTTTCCTTGTTGTATGCTTCATATAACCCCTAAAACAACTCACATTGCACTGACTACATCCTAAGATGATAGTCTGGGTTGTTTTGGAGAGTTAAAAACCATAGGACCATTTGTCTTCAGAGCTGCTGTTTTACGTAAGACCGTACTCAAATGATGTTCAACTGAGTTTGAGGTCAAACGCACCTTCCAACACTTTGGAACCGAATAATTCCCTCGTTGGAGAGTGAACCTAACGGAAACAGGTTCCGGTTTTTCTGGAGACCGGCACCGTTCTCTGCAATTACCGAACTGGAACCGTGCCTTTGGGATAGTAGAGGTGGTCACGGAAGGTGTTTAGTTGAATGCACATCATTGATCAAAAAAGCGATCTAAAGTACCACGTGTCGTTCAATCTCCTGATGGGTCGAAGTTGGGTGCCAGCACGCGTGGCGTGTCACCTAAATTGAAGTTTGGCATTCCCTAGCACTGATTGGTTTCTGCGTTCTGTCGAACACGGGGATCAAGCCGAGCGATAACACATCGCAGCCGTTCTATGCCAGCCAAGTCTGAGAGGATGGGGGTTTGATGGCACAGGGTCACGTGACGACTGTTGTATGTTTGGCCGGCGCGTGAGCTTGGTTGACCTTGATCATGAAGTAAGGCCGCATGACGCGATCAGGCATGTCACTCCCTCGATCCGAACGATTAGTCAGCCAATCACAGATGCTCACTTGAGCGTGGCTGAACGAGATTCCTTGGGGGTACGCCTTAAGGCCAAGTGGGGCGGTGCGCAAGTGGGCGATACGTGGGGTATGAAGAGGGCATGTAATGAAGCCTCATGCGAACAACAACTTATCCAGCGGTCCCATTCGTCCAGGTGATATCCAGAGTTTGCACCCCAAATCGCCCCTCACTTCATTTTGANAAACTTGTATTTCTTTCGCCCTTTCACAGAACACATTGTGATCTAAAACAGCGCTTGACTCTTCTGAAAAAGTTTGACCAGCTGATCCAGAGAGCCGAATCATCCGTCCCACCAGTCAGATCAGTTCGTCGTCGTTGCCCCAGTGATGCAGTGATTCGTCGAACATCTGATTGTACAGCCGATCGTCGTTCAGAAATGGCAAACGTATCCGCAGTTCATTCTGACTGGGATTCCTTGCATCAGTTTTCCCAATCAGGGATGTACGGCTCGTCGATGAGTAATTTGGCGGCATCGGTCAATAATCACACCACTTCATTCCGATTGTCTCCGGAACTCACTGTTGCCGGGGCATTGAAACGACTTGACAAGACAGTGAGCAATCATTTGTTTGTGGAGGAACCTGCTACCGGTGAACTACTTGAGGTAAATACTGTTATTCTTATCCTGCACCGTATCAAACCATAGGTGAAAGCAACCTTTCCTGTTTGGTTATTGTTATCTGAGAGTTACTGTATGAGAGCAAAAATGGCTGAAATTAACTGTTTGAATGTACTGGAAGTTTTAAAATTTCCATATGTGCATCATATCAACAATGACATCCTTTCGAGACGGAGTTATTGTTTGAAACGGATTTCCGATGCACGAATTCCACATTAAGTTGCATTATATATATATGCAGTGCGAAGTTCTGAGAATTCATGCGTCAGGGAGTCGAGAATTGTTCGGTTTAGTCCCGAAAGCACAGGCGATTAGAGCTCAGGTTCGGATTTTGTCATTGATGTCGATAAATGATACCTTGATCTAATTCGAATTTGGATGGAAACTCGGATTTGTATGTTACTTCACGTATAACATTTTATCCAACTTCAGCTGACCGTTTGCCAAATGTTCATTCATCATATGATTATGTGTGAGCTCGTTATTCAGTTGTTCGGCTATCTGATCCGTCATTCAGCCCAATTTTTTCTGCGCATAGATTATTATATGCAAATATAATCGAATTCATTGTAATCGGTATTCCGCAATTAGTCGATCCCGAATTGTATTTAGGCGATTCGTATTCTGAAAGAATTTAGCGGGGACGATGAGATTAATCATGCGCTATGTTAAAATGTTGCGCAATCTGATGAGATTGCTCGTTGGGCGGATTGTTGATCCCGGTAACGGATTTTATTCCCACCGGGAGTAATGGATATCAGAAAACGAAAACCGCAAAAAAGCTGTACAGTACTTTTCAAATATAATCTTTCGACAGCTCTAAAGTATCCTTCCCACTGAACAACGCTCTTCTGGTCTACTTCCGATTGAGCAAGTATACTTGTGGTCTGATTACGTTCCTAAATATTTTCGGTTGATAATAATAACAATAATTTTTTTGTTTACTTTCGTTTTTGTTTATTGATTATAGAGATGTACAATAAACTTTCAGGAAGGGGGGGGGGCGATCATACAAAGGCTGTCTGTTATTCTATCCACTAATTTGTGTTCCTAAACTCTTCGTCTTTAAGTTCAGATTTATAATGATCTGCAGCCGGGTTCATTTACTTTACTACATCTATTCGGGTTGCTGAGCGAAAGTTCCAGGTCCCACGTCGCCCTTCTCTCCCCACAGTTTCCGTCTGCATCATTGTTTGAATGATATGCTGTTGTCACAACTTTCATAAACACATATCAGCTAAGATCCAAGACAAAAGGCACACTTTGATTATCATGTGGGACCTCTTGAGGCTGAAAGGGGTGATTCAGCCAGAAATCCAAACAACTGCATAGAAACTGGACCGCAGCGCACGGTGATGGAACGGGAATGACAAGAATTTGGTCTATTCTGAAATGAGGTTAAATTCGCATTCAGCTCACAGTTACTTGTGAGTAGTGGTGTAGGATAAGTTATACTGATGTGAGCTGACCATCTTTCAGATTTCATCTTCAGGCGCAATCCTCAGTTCATCCAGTCAACCTTATTCTCGGGAGAAAATCTTGGAACTTTTCATTCTTATACAGATTATTGTACCTTGTTTCGTTTGGCACACCGTCTGATTTCAGATGTGTGTGTGTGTGTAGAAATACTCGGGAAGCATTATAGACTCTAGGTTTGCTCTCCTCAGAGCTCACCAGTAGTGTATATCCACTGTTCCTTCCCGTTTTGTCCGCCAGGATGAATCGCTTGAGCTCATTGTGTGCAGTTAGTTTGCCAAACTTTCAGGGCCTTTCAGTTGTTCGCATGCACACTTGAAACAAATACGCTCGCGGTTGCGACCCATCTCTACGGCAATCAGCTATGTTTTATATATCCGCATTTTTTCCAGTGCTCCCGTTCTCTCGCCGCCACATCTCACAAGATTGTGTGCAAACAAAAACTCACAGATTGATTGGATCTTGTGACGTGCTTTACATGCATCTTTAGTCGTTCAAAAGTGTAAGTCTACGGCCTCAGAAAACAGTCGCGAGAACATACGTTTCGTACTTGATCGTATATTTCGCATTGATCTGAACCCAGACTGTGCAAAACAAATCACGATACATTAATTCTCATAAAAATGGCCTACGATCCGCTAGTGGGTGGAATACTACCAGGTTATCTTGGCCAGAGATAGTGGCTTGTCTTGAGGATTCACAACCGGGACCTTCGCCCAGTTAAAGTTTGACCCTCAAGGTACCGGGGTGCTGTCTATTGAGGTCTAACTTCAAAGGTGCTCGATCCACCTCGAAACTTGATCCAACTGGTAATTACTGCTGTCTTCAGGAAGACGTTTGTGTTTATTACACCCCTTATTGTTGGTTTGTTTGGAATCAGGATTTGTAGAAGACCTCCCTAGGTGAACTGCCAGTGGTTCACCGACCCGGTCATAGCCATGGATGTTGACTTTTCTTCCTCTCACTTTGATGGGGAAACATCTTGATCAATTGAAGGCTTTGAGTAAGGCTTCCTCAGCACAGGCTATCTGAGACACTACATCGTGTGAGAGCACTTAAGGAGATATGAGAGAAGGGTGACTAGTTTTAAAACACAACACCCCCAACCATAATGAAGCTTTTGGCGGCATCACAACACTAATAGACATGGTTTCCATAAATCAGCCAAGGACGCTATTTCTCCATCGATTATCGCGGTTATGAATATTGACAAGGCATTGTTACTCAACTCTTCAAACAACTTGCACTGTTTATAACGTATGCAACTCCTCAATAAAGCCTGACAACGTTAGTTATCGAAGTTCGGTCTCTTCGTCGCCCACCATTGAAATCCAATCCAATCTTTGTTTAGCACTTACATTGGATCAAGGAGTTACATGAAAAATTGAAATCCACGAGTTTGGACGAAAATGGACTGGCAGAGATTTCTCAACAGTTCAACGGAGCGGTGATTCCGCCCACGGATGAAGATGGATTTGAACAGTTTCGTGCTCATTGGCATCGCGTAAGTGGAACACATTTCACACATATAACACTCAATCACAATCATAACCGGAAAAATTAGGATATATTGCAAAATAATGAATAGGACTAATATTCGAGTTTAATCCATATCGATTCAGTCATTGGATTTTAAAAGTTCGGACAGCTGTTTGCCATGTTAGACAATCAATATTGAATCCTTTTTGTAGGGCGTAATATACATTGATCTACGAAAGAATCTTATCTCATTGTGGTTTTGATCATCATGAATTGGGATTCTCACGACTTTTAAATTTTAATTCGTTGAGATAAAAGTTACACCAAAATAGGACTGCACCATGGGAGCTTGATTCTCTGATGGACTTGATCCCTGTTCGGGTGGGAGAATTAATCGATACTTTCTCTTATAAGATGCTTTAGGTAATTTGCTTCCGTTTCTGTGCTTCCTCGTACTTTCTGATCCTCTGTTTTTGGTCTTTTCAGGTTGTTACGCGCGTTCTTCCCAAGCATGTATTGCTCACGGACCATGAATTACTGAACACGAGCAATGAAGCGAAAACTAGGGAGCATTTGCCAGGAAATAAGAATGAGATTATGCAACGACTGAACTCGTGTTTTGATCAACTTTCGCGGTTGTTTGAAGAAAACCCGTAAGAATATATGTGGTGTTTCTTTTATTGCATACATTTTCATGTGATGAACAGTAGACGGGGTGACTCCCTCCCCAAGTCACATGGACGCGCAATTCAGTGATGGAGACCGGCAACCTAAGACCCGGGTTTTGGAGTGTCCAACCACACATATGGCCCCACTAGATTAAGCGTGGTATTGAACAGGACAACTGCAAGACTTCATTTGTGCTATCTGTTTTCACCACATTGAGTCTTTAAACAGATAGTGGGAAATATTTCCAGGCACATATCATCAGAAGCTAAATCTCTGTAGATCTCATATGATCGAACTGTGTAGTCGATGTTACAGACGTGCTCCGGTCACTTAAACCCAAGGTTTAAACCCTGCCACGACAGCTTTGTTGTCGTTTGGTTCAGCATAAGGTCCTCCCACCCATGCTTGATTTATCAATCAGGGCTTAGTTGGCTCGTTTTCAAAAGTGAATAGTTGGTCCTTGTGAACTGGAAGTGCACTTCCTCATCTACTATTCATCATGCTGAGGTCTCTGATACAAGTAACTCAGTCATTTGATCGATGTGTTCACATAACGAGTTCGCAGTCCGTGTTGCGCCACTGATTTTTCCGTTTATGATAAGATTCGGGCACTGTTCGTCCATAATTTGTTCAACTAATCCACTTCACATGCTTCACACTATAGGTCCATGGCGTTACATCACACGCACAGCATCCGACATGAAGAGGTTTCCTTGTCCAATGAGCGCTCGCCGGTCCAAAAATGGATCGCCGAAGGTGTTCAAACCGGGCAAGCTTTTCAGACTGTTCTCTGTCGAACCTTGGATGTAAGTTGTTTTGGATGTATAAAGCGCAGTCATGCCTCTAACTATCATCTACACCAATCTTGCAGTTACGTGTGTTCATTCAAATTTTGATCCGCTGTTTTATCTAGTACTTTTCCGGTTTTTTATGGAAATCAAAAAATATCTCGACCTAGGTTTAACCCTTTCTTTTTAAATCGCTTTATTCGTGCAATAAAAAGTTTAAAATAAAATTATGGAATCCCCTCTCCAGAATGATATATGAACGAGAATATGACACACATATCCTGCCATCTGTGCGTTCGCATGGACAATACGATAAAAATATTTGATCAATCAGGGATGCTTTCAACGTGCTGGCTTTCGATTTTATAGCTCTGGGGTAGGGATTTCCACCCCCTATCCGAATGATTGTAGTTTGAGTCCCGGCAGGGACACAAGCATAATACGTACTGCGGACAAACCCCAACAAAGAGGTAGCAGTTGTACAACGCGCTTAGTTGACCATCACGCACAACACTCCATCGAAAATAGAAAGTCACTTATTCATTGCTGGAAACTTTGACTATACAACAGTTTATGGGTAACAGACGCTACCGTTGTAACCCACGGAACAAATGATAGCAACGAACGAACGAGCAATAACCCAGACTCCCGTGATAGAACAAACGAACGAGTACCCACACGAACAAATGGAACGTCCCGTGAAGTTACGCCCCCGAGTTCAACCGAACAGGAGAGGAAGAATAAAGGCAAACCTTCCGGCAAGATTGTATATATTTGGCTCGATTCTCAGAACAGAATCCGTTTATTTACATGTTCATAGCGGGCCATAGATAACCTTTAAAATTAGCTTGAAGGTTCAAAATCCCGAAAAATGGACTAATCAGGAACGAGCGGGGTTGGTGGTGCCATGGGAACCCTTTTTGGAGCGGAACAATGGAAATTTGAATTCCCGCAAAAAGAAATGCGGTAATAGGGGCTAATGGGTTTTTACCTATCAACCTTACGATATAATTCGATGAAATCCAATCAATTTATCGTAAGCTCCATTTGGAAACCGAAATAGGGACCTCATTAAGTATGTACTCCCAAACTGAAATAACAATGGCATATTCATCGTCATTGAGAATAAGGAATTTCATTGAATAACACATTTTGTTTCACATTCATCCATCTCAGACCGTGGTTATTTCCGTCAATGTTAGCCTTTCGCAGTCCAACCTCATTTTTTCTACACCCTGTTTCATTGTTCCCATTCATGACCCCGTATTAACGATCAAACAACACTCGCTGTGTTGAAAGAAAATAACAGGTGAAACATTGCACTGGTTGCTGCATCTGAACCGGTGCGTCGTACCAAAAATTTAAATCATATGGAGTTGGGGTTTATGTGAAAGTCTAAAGTGAAAACCTAAACAACTTTTTCAAGGAGAGTACAATGTAAATTATTCCCTGCACATACTCAGAAGGGCATCTGCCTCACCTTGCACTGTTTGCATTGGTTGCTCCAGGGTGAGAAAACTATCTCGAGGCCAACGTATTATCCGTGAAAACAATGCACCGACAGATTACATAGGGTATGTGTCTCTCAACTTTCAATCAAGGGTCCAAAATACTCCGTAATCGATTGGTGATTTGATTGGTGACACTGAAGGGTGTGACAGCGAATCGACAACAGCGGCATTCTTGTTATCACAGCCTGGAATGTGTGAAAATGGGTGCATGCACAGTTAGGCTGTGTACTCTGGATGTTTGTTGACCGCAGTGGTTCACCTTATTTCCCTCACCCCCCGGGTTAAACAACAGGCCCTGTCCGCATTCACTTCACACATTCGAACGTATTTTCCCCAAAACTGATTTGGGCAGCGATCAGTGAAGTTTGTTTCACCGTATTTCGCTTTACATTGACGACCATGATGATGATGATGATATGACAATCATGTTTAGCGCCTTAGTTTGATTTACTGTATCCTTTATTACTAAGACAGATCACGTTCTTCAGGATGATATTAGAATGATTGATTTCTAACACAATGTATGATAACCGCCCGGATTAGAAAATCGCATTTACTTACGGGTTTATTAATTTTCACGAAATAATTTGGGATATTAAGCCTATAGAATAATCGAAGAGAGAGAGAGCAGTGCTTTCAAGACTGCCTTGAAAGAGGACGTAGTTTCCCCCTCTTGGTATCTCCTAGTCTTACCCTCTGAGTATCCTTGCCTGGTGTCACTTCATCGAAAACGATCCAACTTTGTTACTGCAAATGGCGCGTCTGCGTTATATCATAACTTGTCCGGAGGATCAAGAAAATCAACGGTGGTAAAACTAATACCTGTTATGACGATATGCAGTCCTTGAGCAGAAAACTCACTCCTATAAATATCGAGTTAGATTTTCTGTTTGGAAACCTCGGCACCAGTGTAATCACTGGAGAAACACACTGATCGATATGTCTGAGCATCGTGAACAGTCGTGGCAGTCGTTCATCCGCTCACTTTCTTGGTCTACCTGATTTCTCTGTCTTCATCTTGGTACCTTCCACTATCCGAATTCGTCACTCTGTTCCTTCATTCGAATAATCAGCCAAAACACAGGAACGGAAACCGCTACGCGAAACTGTAAGGTCGATGGTTGTATAAACTAAAAACGAAAAGGAACCATTTGCTATGGATGGTTGTTTAGAGTTGATTATGCTGGAAGAATTTCCAGGATTTTTTCAATAATGATCGACAATTGTTGCATGACACGATTTTCATTTGTCTAAACCACATTTCCTGTTTTCTTTTTTGAGAAACGATCAATTATGATCCAGCCTCATAGTTCAGTTTGAACAGCCATTAGGCTTGAACATCTGTTCACCGTAGTTTTGGTGAATAGATGATTAAAAAGCTAAGAACAGTACCAGGATGTTCATATGGAATAAGGGTAAATGAGACGTCAGTAGAAAGAGCGTAGATAGATGGACACTACCGGTGAATAGGTCGTTCACTCAGCCTCCAACCGGGAAGCCTAGCGTGATCTTTAGCAAAGTGGTCTTATATTCGGTACCGCTAGTGAATACTGACTTCATTTTAGGGCTGATTTTGATTGGTTTGCCCGAGGCTTCAGCTCGTTCATGATCAAAATTCGACTCAGTTCCTCACGCGGTAATCCATCTCGATAATTCTGTTTTCTGTAGCATCTCAAACATTCCATAGAACAAGCACTGGATGAACTGCACTCGTTATCGCTCACGGATCAACCGATTTCGGAGTTATCTTCTGTCGATTGGTCAGGACGACGTCTGTGGACACGTCAATCCTATTCCACCCTGGCTCGGACTATTCTCACCGCATTGGATCAGAAATCAGCCGGTACACCCAACCCTGAGTGGATGCGTGTAAACTTGAACAGTGCTTGGGACTGCCTACATCTCCTCCTGGAATCTGAAACACGTATTCAGAATGATTTTTGGTTTGCCAGTGGTAAGGTAAGCATTCGATCTCCGCCCCCCCCGCCCCCCCTCCCCGGGGAGAAAGTGAACAGATGAGCAGAAACTAGCTTCGGGTCAGACCAATAGCGTAATCTGCCCCGTATTATTTTTTAGCCCTCAGCCGGACAAAGAGGATAGTTTCGTTTCGTATCAGCAGTGTTGTTGTTCATAAATTTATTTCATCACCAGCAAGAAATATTGGCAAGGTGCCAAGCAGAATGAAACTGTCGCGAACACAGGTAAGGTGACGACATATCACTGAAAGTTTGCGTTTGTTTTACATTCTGTCTATGGGAGATTGACTTAATGAACCTCATCCTGAGCCTTCGCGGCAATTATCTAACTCCCACAAGGTAGTGCGAGGGGAGGGAAGGTTCAATGTCCCTTTGGTTTGATAATGCGCCCTTCGGACAAGCCTCCCACGTCTAAGGCTTGATCGAGTCATTAATCACTTGCCTAACAGTCCCGGATGGGATACCATGTATGATTTGAATTTTTGGGTTTGCGTACGAGGTAGCTGTCGTTGGCTTATCAATCTTTTCCGTCTCACTTCAGTGATAACATCTCCAAGGCACCTCCTAGGACAAGCTAGAAACGGCTTTGAACACAGGTTACTAGGGGGCATTTTAAGAACATCTCGGGCGGGGATCGACCAAAAATAATGGAAAAAGAACTCACACAAGTGGGCTGACCGAATCAGAACACTGCCGCAAAACACGCACTAAAGTTGTCAGCTCGGTGGGCGATGTGATTTTTGCAAATTAATTGCCAAGCTCGAAGGACAGGTGCCAGGGCACCGTAAAATACGTTTATTCAAACATCCACTTCCGATCATACTGGGACATTATGGGGAATTGTCGTAGTTTTGCTGGCACTCAGTTGTATTTGACATGTGGTCGATTACCGTAAATTAACTGATAGTGATTGATCTTGTACCACCTCTTAAAGTTGGAACTTTTCCGTGTGCTGTTGGAGTTCATAAGAGTCTTATTCAAATGACGTAAAGGTAGTTTATCGTGGATGCGGAAATTGTTTTCTGTAACCTTCACTGTAACCTTCTCTTGTGAGTATTTTGCTTATACGATGGAAACTAAGTAATTATTTCACATTTCCACTCGTAATTTATGTCAGAAACGTGATTATAGTATACCCATTTGGATCCAATAATATCCGCTCTGGAACTTCACTGAATCGTTTGAGAGAAATGAATGGCACTTGAGCGCTTCCCTCTATCCTTTTGCCTCATGAGCAGCTTTTCGAAATGAACTCATCTTCGTCGTCATCACCACTGCTGTCGACACAGAACTCATCTCGTTTTGATGGCGATTTGGTAATTGAATGCACCGATGCTTTGGCTGCGTTGCGATCCAGTCTGATTCTCGCCGACCAGCATGAATTTCATGCGGCCATTCGGTTGGAGGCAACGCTACTACACACCGTTGCTTTATGGAACTGTATGGTCGATGAATTGGAAGATCAACTACTGGTCACACCTCTCCAACCTGAGTCGGAGAATACGGAACAACATTCTGTTTCCACGGATATCTTGAGCTTGTATGCTGACCAGATTCTTCAGTCGGTAAGTGTTTATTCGATTGGAGTGAGAAATTGCTACTTGAGGTTTCCTTTTTTTTTAGACTACTCTTGATTTGTACTACTTACTACTAAGCAAATACAATTTTATTTTCACATTATATTACCTTACCTGTTGTTCATCTAAAATTCGTTGAACTTCATTGAGATGCATATGAATCTAGGAATGACAGCTTTATATGATTCCCTCCCCCCCCAGATACCACAATCCTCATTTGATCAGGCAGTATGCTCAGCTTGCTGTTATCACGACTTCGCGATCTACTTATTCACACA